TATGCATATGTGAACTTCAACTCCAAGAAATCCAAGGTTGTGAAGATGCAGTATGTTAATTAGGAGGAGATGAAGGCAAAGAATGAACTAGAATTTAATAAGGTGATCAAGGCTTGTGAGTTGTTTGGCCTCACTGATATTATGAGCTTCATATATAATTAGAATGAGGAAGTGCTGGCCCAGTTACATGCCACTTTCTTCTATAGTATCTACACTGATGAGATTCACTGGATGACTGAGGGACGGCATTATAGAGTTGATTTTGTGACTTCAGCCGGATCCTTTGTTTTGGAGAGGAGCGGGGCTTCACTTACATTCATGATGAGGCTAGAGCTGAGATTCGTGACATTACATATATGTGGATTGACAAGAGAAGTGCATATGGGAAGGTCAGTGGCCTGAAGAGCTATTATTACATTCTGAACAATTTGATCAGGCACACTATCAATCCCAAGGATGAAGCAGCTTCTGATCTTAATGGATATGTGAGGAATGTGCTTGCTAGATTTGCTCCTAGAGGTGACAGGTTTAATGTCCCTCGCTTCATGTGGCATGAGCTGAGGAACGCCATGGAGGATGGGACAAAGGGGATACCCTATGTCCCCTATCTCATATTTATGATTGAGAGGGTCACTGGCTATAGATTTGAGAAAGATGGTCTTCACACCATCTACAAAATTGAGAAGACACGAGGAGTAGGTGCTAGCAGAGCAGTGAGACGCTCTCCATCGGTTGAGGACGTGCCTGAGTCGTCCTGATCTAGGCCTCACAGGGAAAAGAAGATGGACAAGTTTGGGAGATGGATTAAGGCCATTTTCACAACTTGCACTTATGCAGCGATGACCGCATATCAGGACTGGTTGGAGAACCGTGAAGCCAACTAGGAGGCTAGAGAGCGTGTAGGGCTGCCACCTCTTTCCCTAGTTCAGTCACCGCTGAGGTTTGATGACCTCCCTAGTCTTTCTGAGACAGATTTAGAGGATAAGGAGGAGGAGGAGCAGGAGCAGCCAGAGCTTGATCCTCACATGAGTTTGAGATCCACGTTGCAGTCCATGAGGAGAAGCACCAGGCGTGAGCGCCACACTTCGACCACTCATCGTCAAGGGAGGGTGATGGTGTCTTCTTCTTCCTCCGACAATGACGACGATGATGATGATGTTGGAGAGGAGGATGTTGCAGGTGCTAGTAGAGCTGCTGGTGGGGATGATGTCGATTGGGACACCATCCAAGAGGATGAGGAATGAGTGTTGGTTTTTCTTCTTTTCTTCTTTTTTTGAAGATTTATGCCAAAGGGGGAAAAATTAGAGGGGTCAACAACTTTTTCGACGCCACGAAGGTTGTTGTAGTTAGAAGTCATGTTCGTATCCGTTTAGAGTAGTCTTCATTAGGTGATAGTTTGAGAGTCCTTAGAAACTCTATTTATGTAATAATGCTACTTAAGTACTTTTTATATGTGTGGGATATGGACATATATTAATCTATGTTGTCGATTATGATACAATTGTGCTAGAATGTATATCTTTATATGTATCATATGTTGTCTGTTCTGATATGTGCTGTTACCGCAAATGTGGTAGTGCCGCACCCAGCTGCAACAACAAACCATGATTGTGCACAAACTGTCATTTGCAACACATTTTACATACCTGACATAGTATGCAGCACCCCGCAGGAGCATGGATATAGGGGAAGCCCCATCACTTTCACTAAAATATGAATCTTGGCTTCTTATGCCAATTTAAGAATTTAATTCTTTATTCACATACTTAGGGGGGCTCTACACCCATGGCTCGAAAATCTCAGTATTTATTTCATAACTTTTGTAAGCTTTAATTGGGTTGTCATCAATCACCAAAAAGGGGGAGATTGAAAGTGCAATCAAGCCCTAATTGTGGGTTTTGATGATAATGACCACGTAATTAGAGAACTAATGAGATTTATCAAGATGACAAGCGGGGAATTCATGTACGAGGATGCTACACGAAATGGAGGAGCCCACAATTACAAATGTAGATGGCTTCAAACTCAAATGAGGTTTAAATCATTTTATATTTTGAATTTGAGTATAGGAATAGCCATACTATAAAGGGGAACACAATGCTTAAGCTAACATGTGCTACCAAGTGCTCAAACATACACATGCATCATCAGATTCACAACCAAGACAGTCTACACTTCACTCTTACCCTTGCTGTCTTCTTGGTGCACTTGAAAAGACCGCACTTAAGTCGCGGCACCGTTGGGGCTGAGGGGTATTTATACCCATCCTCTTCCTCCCCAACGTCTCTCTTTCTCCTCCTGCTGATTCCAGCATGCCCAAACAGAAAATGAGCTCTCTCTCTCTCTCCCTCTATTGTTGACCTCAACCCCACAAGCAAATATATTGATTTTCCCATCAATCCTTGAGGGAAAAATGTTCAAAACTTCGATTAGAGAATAGCTCCATTGATTCTCCAACTCGAAAGAGCATTTGGTTTACGTTTTGGCCGGCGGTTATGTTTGTTACTCTTGGAGCTTGGCTCCTAGCCGGCTAGAGCGTCGTTCGTGGAGCTTGCCAACTTGTGTGTCAGCCCTGAAATGTTTGTAACTATCTCTTGAAACTAGTATACTCACCCCTCATCTCAAGAGTTAAGTCTCTTGACGTGAGAACGAGGAAGGGTTGGAAAGTCCTAAGCCTTAGTGGCTAACCTCAACAACGTGGAGGTAGGCAAGCCTCGGTGGCGAGCCAAACCACGGGATAAATCATTGTGTCACTTATGCTTGATTTACATTACTTGCATTTCATATTGTTGGTTGAGGTGATTTCTAGGGTTTCTAGTTGATTTACTTGTGTGTGATGTTCCTATTTATTTTAGCTCTTGATCTGTGACTATAATACCTGCAGTAAGCTGAGAAACTTCTCCGATCTAAGTTTTCGTTCACTGATTTTGAACTGTGACTCGAAGTTGTCTGCAGGTGCGGCAGTGCTGCTGTTCTGGTCCAGTAGTGCCGCAGTCCGACAGTGCCGCGCTCCAGAGCAACAGTGCTGCAGGATGAATTTGATAAAAGTTTAAGTGTTTGTTTTGACAGGCCTATTCACCTTCCTCTAAGCCAGAGATCCTAGAGTGCCGCAGGACCTCGATCAGAAATGGCCATGCCACCGAATCAAAAGCCTTGGCAATGTCGATCTTCGGCAGCACCGCGGCAACCTTCTTGTAGTGTAGCCATCGGCAGGCGAGTTGCACTGCTCTAAAATTGTCATGAATGGACCGTTGCTTGATGAACGCGCTTTGATTCGGCGCTACGATCTCCAGCAGCCTTGGCGCTAGCCGTCTGGCTAAGCATTTCGCGAACAATTTGTTGAAACTATGCATCAAACTGATTGGTCGGTAGTCTTTTAGCGGGGTGGGTGCTTGGTTTTTGTGAAGCAAAATCATCAGCGCATCGTTCAATAGGTGGAAGCTTCTGGAGTCAAGAGACCAGAGCGCATTGAACGCGCTGATCACATCATGCTTGATGACGCCCCAGGCCACCTTGTAGAATAGGCCGGTGAAACCGGGCACGGTCCGTTGGCAGGTCCTTTACCATTGCCCAGATCTCCTCCTCCGAGAAGCAGGCGTCTATGCCTGCCAAGTCCAGTTGAGGTAGAAGGTCATCAAGGTGGATGGAGTGCTGGCGTTGGAAGGGTGTGCCCAGGATTCCATTATAATAGCTGAAGATTAGGTCCGCCTTTGCCTCTTCCGCCGAGAACCACGTGCTTTCATGCTTAAGCGACGGAATGTAATTCTTCCGACTCCGGTGGCAGGCCTGGAGGTGGAAGAACTTCGTGTTTGCATCTCCATCCTCCAGGTAGCGAATGCGAGCGCGTTGCCATGTGATGGTCCTGGCCAAGGATGCTAAGCCGAGCGACTTGCGCTTAAGGTCCGCCCGCATAGCCCACTCCTCATCAGTTAATGATCTCGGCTCTTGGGCCGCATCAAGCTGCGCGATTAGCTCCCTGGCCATGAAAAGCTGTAACCGCACGCTCCCCACATTCTTCATGCTCCAGCTCTTAAGTGCTTTCGCCACTCTCCTGAGCTTGATGTCGAGCACACGGCACGCGTCGACGTTCGGCGGCGTAGGCTCCCATGCTTCCCTGACGACGTCATCGAAGCTGTCGAGGCGCACCCAGAACGCCTCAAAGCGGAACCTCGGCGTGGCCCACGATTGAGTCCACAGTTGCAAGAGGAGCGGGGCATGGTCAGAGGAATCCGAGGACAGCGACTGCAACCGGTGATCGACGAATTCCTCAAGCCACTGAATGGTCGCTAACGCCCGATCAATTCTCTCCATAGTCGGCCGACGGTGCTCTTTACTCCAAGTGTACAACCTGCCGTGGAGGTAGAGTTCCTGGACACCCATAGCGTCCAGCGTCCTACGAAAGCGACGCATGGAGGCTAGGTTTAGGCGGTCGTTGTTCTTGTCTACAGCTTGATAGATTAGGTTGAAGTCACCACAAATCATTAGCGCGCCGTTGTAGTTCTCGTGAACTAGTCTGAGTTCTGCCAAGAAGTCCGGCTTGTGAGCATCAAGCACCGGACCATATACAGCTGCTAGCGACCACGACAGCTCAGATGCTTCGGACGGCTGGAAGTTGATGGTTACGGAGAATTGGCGGCAGACAGTCGTCAACACAGACCATGTGTCTCGTGACCAAGCGACGACAATACCCCCTGAGGCACCAGAGGCCGGCAAGCAAGCATAATCAAAGCTCGTTCCCATTAGAGCAGATGCCATTGAAGGCGTTAGTACATCAATTTTTGTCTCGACGAGACAAACGACACACACGTGCGTTCTTGCAAGACAAACTCGCGCACGACGTCTCTGCGGGCTCTCGAGTTCATGCCACGCACGTTCCAGACAAAGATGTTATTTCCTAACATGGGAACAATAGCCTAATGCGACACACGGAGGTAACCTAGGCGGCGCGAAAGGCCCTAGTGGCCCGCGGCTTCCTGCCCGGGACGAGAACCTGCATCGCCTCACGAGTGGACTCGGACAATGGCAGGGCGAACGCTGTCTGAAACTCCTAGAATGAGGCCTCGTCCGGGAGCTGGGTCTCCACCTCGACCCCCACGCGCTTCATCATAACCTTCCTTTGCCTGCGCCTCGGGTTGATGCAGCCTGTTCTTACTTTTGGCCGCCAGCCTTGCACTTCTCTTGGGTACGAGCTCTGAGTCGTCGACGCCGTCGCTCCGCGCTCTCACTGCCCAAGTGATCCTCAGTCTGGGCAGGGACTGGATCACCGGTGGCATAAGAGGCTTCTTGAAGGATGCGACAAAGTCAGCGGCCGGCATCGTGACTGACGTCGTAGCCTGTTCGCCGAGGATGGCCGTCGCGGCTGCTCTCGAGAGTGATGACGCTGATGAGCTACCAAAGAACGCCTCAGCGTCTTGGGCCATGAGGCAGGCTTGGGCCGGTGATGAGTGACCCCCGGCCTGTTCCAAGAAATTGATTGGAGACCAAGGAGGCCCCCGCGGAGAGCTACTACCGGATCCACACTGGTCCAGTCGTCCGGGCCAGACAGGCACAAGTCCACCGCCTAGGGCACTGTAGACATGCCCAGCTCCAATGTCAACTGGGCCTCGCAGCCGAATAGGCAGTCAGGCCCATCAACAGGCCCGTAGCAAGGCCGCATCCTACCGGCCCGTAGGAGGTCGACCTCGTCTTCTAGGGCAGCCCCCACAATGCCAGGTCGAGCGGCGCGAGAAGAACGGCCGGCACGCGGCCAGATGTCGATGGAGTGGGGTGCCTCGCTGTCACTGGTGTCCTGACGTGGCATGCGCGGCGTGCACAGAGCTGCCTCGTCCACCATTGGGTCTTCGGCTGCCAACTTGATAGAAGAGGGTGAGCCGTAGCACATGGGCTCAAAGTCAAACCGAGCATCCATGCGCTCGTCGACACGCGTCCGATGTGTGGCGAGAAACCCGCTCCCTGCAGCGCGACAGGGCATGGCACCACGCGGCGACATGACCGGGCAATAGAAGTCTCCCACGATGACAGCCTACCTCGTTTCCCGAGCCCGAAAAGTGGGCCCAGACCCACGACCCAGGCGAGGCTCGTCCAGCCCGGCGAAGCGAGTTGTCCGCGGCCGCGCGCCCCCGTCACCACCGCCGCCGAAACCCGGGTGGAACCCGTTGTAATTACTATTGTCGCTGTCCTCGTCGTCGTTGTAGCCGTAATCTTCATCGGACGATGGTGGAGGAGTATGGCAGTCTTGGAACTCCACGATCCTCAGCCGCACAAGGTAATAGAGAGCCGGCACCTTGTCGTGGATGATCTCATGCGGCCGGAGGTACAGCGGCGACCCACCGTCATGCTCCTCCTCCGGCTCCAGCACCGACATAATCTTCTCGTCTGCAATGAGGTCGGGGTGCGCGCACCACGCGGCAACGAAGAGCTCTCTCTCATCGTCCGGGTCATCGAGCGCCTCCGGATTGGCGATCTCCGCCTTGGCCCCTGATGAGCCGAGGATGACCTGCGCGACCTCCGACAAGCGCGCATGGGACGGGATGCCCTTCATGCCGACAAGAACGCGGTATCTGAATGCTCCAGCCGATCCCATGATAAGGCGGCTCCACCACCGCCAGCACAGAGCAAACGGTGCCCCCTCCGGCGTAGGGGTGCCCAGAACAACGTCCAGGTCCTCCTGGTTGGTGAAACAAACGATGAAGTCGTCAGATCTGGTCCGCCGCACCGAGACCCTCTCCTCGTCAATGCCGAAATGCTGAAGAAGATGCATGCGGACCATGGCCGGGGTCACCGCCGGCCTGGTACCCACAACCATGGCCAAGAGTGTGAGAGATAAGGCCTCCTCCGCAGCCTGCAGTGCCGGAGTGCGCGGCACGATGACAAGCTCGAGAAGGGGCGTTCTGGCTCTGGTCCTGGGCGACGCTAGCGGCTTTTCGACCCGCCTAAGCAGGGAGTGCGGGTAGCCGTGGGGTCGATCAGGGCGTGAGGGGCCAGCACCGTCCCCATGTCCCGCTGCCGCGGCACCAGTATTGATGTGGAGGCCCACACCAGCGTCGACGCAGGCACCGTCACCCCGCCCACTAGCCGGCGCATCGACCGGAGGCCCGGACACCGCCTGCTCCTCCTCCGCAGGCTCCCCCGCCACAGGCTCCATTCTCGCAGACACCATCGCCGCGGACTCCGGGGTCGGGGGCTCACACACAGGCGGGACCGACGGCTGCCTTCCCGTGGAGACCAAGCGAGCGGAAGCAATCTTGGCAGCCGACCTGTGATCGGGCGAAGACCGACGCCGGCGAGTCCCACGCTGCCGCCGCGGCGCGCGACCCGGGGAGCGACCACGTTTGCCCTCCCAGCGACCGATAGCGGGGTGGGAACGGGCACTCGCGCTCGTGGTGACCTTCCCCCTTGCAGTTGAAACACTTCGACGGAAACATGCACTCAGCGCGCACATGGTCACCGGCTAGGCAATTGAAACACTTGCCGATGAGGTTTGACGGGACCGGGCGTCGTGGCTCCGCCACCCGCCGCCAGCGACGCCTTCTCTGCACCGGCCTGAAACCATCGGCATCCGGCTCGACCTACATGCGTGGTGGGTGAACAACGACGGAGGCAAGACGGCGGTGCGACGGTGGTGGAGTAGGAGTTGAGGCTCGCTGGGCATCCGCCATGAAGCCCCCTCCCCCCGCCGAGGACGACGGCGCTGCCGCCTGCGAGCCCGACGCGGGCGCAGGATCTCCTTGCCGCGACTCGACGGCGGCGGAGCATCGGAGTCGCCAAAGGAGGCCTCCGAGTCGGTGAAGTGCAATCTGTCGTCCTCCCCACCGGGAGAGGCGACGAACGGCTCAGCGTCGGGGTCAAGAGAGCTCGCTCTGAGCACGCAAGCAGCGTGGGCGGCCGCGGCCAGAGGGGGCAGCTCCAGGAGTGCAGATCTGGCAGCACTGCGAGCGGCCTCGTCCTCCTCGACCTCGTCGTCCCATGAGCGACGGGAGCAGGACCCGGGGTCCATGTCTGCGTGGACGGCGCGACCAGAGGTGTCGACGGTGGTGGGGGTGGTCGGCGGGGCCTGGGTGGCCACCGGCGGGGAGGGGCTCGCGCGCGCTCACTCACACCAAGTAAACAATCATTCGAAGTTATTGACCGGACCGGCCGACCGGGTTAGTTTAGGTACTGGCTGGTTCTCCCATTTCATCCCTATGCATGCACATTATTATAGTCCTATACATCTTTCTTTGGTCAACCATCTTGTATTTACAAATTTAGGTCTGCTTCTAAATGTAATTGGTTGGGGGCTAAAATTAGAGCCAATCCATCTAAACCCCTCAAATCAATAAATCTTATTAATAGTCTAAATTCAAGCACCTAACTAATAAAATGTTATTAACTTAGTTCTACAAGTAAAGTATAGCCAACTCTTAGCTCTAAGGGCATCCGCAACGGTTATAACCTTATAGGCAATATAATGCTATATGGCATGTGTGGCAACTCCACGTCAACAGAAAGTGGTGCAAAAGATAAGTCATGCAATAAGCTCACGTTTGCACACTGTTAGTTTTTTAATCAATTCTCTCTTTCGTCTCCAAGGGAGCGTGGGATGAAGGAGACAAATGCCTATAGATGGGCCCCACGCATCACGAAAAGGTGTGTAGCAATCCTCGTTAACCGCAACTATGGTTTCTCTCTCCTAACAATATCGACATTCATGACGCAAGGTGCCTAGCTAGTTTTAAGTTATCCTCATGTCACAAAATCAATTTCTGTATAATGTAAAGCAGCCCTCGTCTAGCGCATTGGCACCTCACCAGCTTGCGCTAGTCGATTTGTAAACCTCTTCACTCATCCACGTAAGTTGCTGGCTGACGTGGTTTTGCTATAGACAACGCATATCGACCTGTTGCGGCTGCCCTAATAGAATGGATCGGCTATGGGAGGAGAAAAGACTGCACGGCGAGGACGACTGCAGGCACACGGTGGGGTGCCGAGCTGCTTCCCTGCTGCCCCTCCTTCTTCCATGGTCGCCCCGTTGCTGGCTGCTCCATGGATTATTACGGCCTACCGTTGATTTGGTGTCTCAGAGAGAAAATAGCCGCCCATGCGCCGTTGTGTCTAGAAGACCCTGCCCTCATGTGATGAGAGAGCACCTGGCCGGAGAGCCCTCCCTCCTCTTCTTCTTCCCGGATGGGATCACCCGAACTTCTTCTTCCCGGATCAGCGTGGCGGCGGATCGGCCCTCTCTCCGGATGGGCTCCATCCGGATAGTAAGGATGGTGCGTGGCGGGTCGGGTGGTGGTGGTGGTCGTGCTCCGCTTCTTCCACCCGCCCCCCAAAACCCAAACCGCCAAATCGAAGCCCGAATCCGCCGAAAACCGATTCGGGTGGATGCTTCTCCTCCACCCACCCCAAACCATGCGGATACGAGCTCACGCCTCCGAATGGATACGTCCGAAACGACGCGTATATATATACACATATTCACATGATTATAAACAAGAGGCAACAAATAATAAATATTTTGCGTTTGGGTACGAGTCAACTTTAAATAAATTTAATAATCTAAGTAAACAAATTATTTTTAGTATATTATAAAACATGAGTTTTAATTCCAAATGATTTATTTCGGATATCCATTGGATATCGGCTATGGGAGGAAAACCAATCGCACGGCGAGGACCCGAAAATCGAATCCGATTGGTTTAGGGATTACCCCGAAGTGCGAGAAAAAAAAGCTAACTAAAAGGGTTAAAAGTATCCGTGAAGGGCTAAGCAGCACCGTCAGCCAGAAAGCCGAACATGGGATATCAACGAGCAAAGCCGATCCTGGTGGCATGGGCTTAATCCAGCGTACCCTGGCGCTAGCGACCACCGACGGTGTGGGTGGCTGAGGCATGGGTGACGAGGTGGGCGGGTATGAAGAAACAGAAACTGACCTTTAAAGCTCGTATTACAGCAGGTTCACATTGCAACCCACAATGGCTTGTGAGCATAAATCAATGACAGAAACTCACCATTCCAATCGTCATTAAGGCCTAATTTAAAAACTCCAATCCCTTTAGGATCCTGGACTTTTCCCTGGATGGATATAATCCACGAGGATACCATTCTAATTACTCCATTCGTTCCAAATTATATATCGTTTTGATTTTTTTAGTTCATCCATTTTGCTATGTATCTAAACATATTATTTATCTAGATGCATAACAAAATAGATATAAAAAAAATCAAAGCGACTTAATTTAGAACAGAGGAGTACCATTTTAGTTCTTAGTGTGGGGTTTTGCTCCCCTGCTTCCAAAAGAGCCCTAATGAAATTTGTTACTTCAGAACTCTAATGTACGAAAAGTTCTGTATACATATTATGACTTATGAAGACTATGACAATTTGGATGTTCAATAACATTCATCCCTTGTTGAAGTTTACAGGATTTGTGGCACAAACTAGTAGCATAGCACTATTAGCTCTGTCCGTATAGTTTATGATGTAATAATGTTACAATTGAAATACATGTTTGATGGATTCAAAATCTCTTTGGCCACTCAAGAGAGTAAACCATGGATGTAGCTAAACCAGTGATCGATCTCATTAGTTCTTGATGCATCAGCACATCCGCTTGGTAATTGGGCTTGAGTAAGTTGTCAGATCAACCATTCTTCAGTGCTGCTACTAGAATTGGAGCCTGTGGATCTTTCTCCAGGCAAGTAGTCCCCACCGAGGTCACTGCTAGAATCTAGTCTGCTGCACCTGAGAGCTGCTGCACATGCAACGTTATGGCTTCGGGACAGGGGGGCTGGGCTCGTATTAGTTCCAGGCGGTTAAATGGATGTACAAATTGAAGAACATAGTCTTCATCTGTGATACAAGGGATAAACAATAACATGAGTGAAAATGCTCATGATTGAGAGGTCAACATTATGAACACACGAACAAAAATCCAAAAGTTGCCAAGTTAAAATGCAACTACTTGGAGGTGAATAAATTCTTACTCTCTCTGACAGTCCCATACAACCAGCATAAGACCTCATCAGCAAAGGCCAGGCAAACGCCACCCTAAAGTACAGAGAAATCGTTACAGGTATCCAAAGCCATGTTACAATTTGGATGCATGAAAGTAACTGCAAATTTCTATTTAATTAAAATAAGTCTAATTTGGAGGAAATCCTTTGGATTCTCAACTTTCCACACAAAAAAAAAAATATATCACCTCATTTTAAAGTGGTTAAAATAGGTAGTGCACAAGAAAAATGTGTACATTACTTTCCCTTTTATACATGAGATGCTTCACAAATTAGCTCAGCATTGCTAGATTCTTGCAATGCTGATAAATAGTAGGAAAACTGTTTGAAGTACCTGCCAGTAGTTCTTTGCCTTCACCTTCTGTGTAATATCTTTGGTTCTTAGTCTTTCCGTTCGTACGAGTATGCCAGCATCATTCCTACAGGCCAAAAGAAGTGCAGAGCAAAATTTGGAATAGTTTAAACTGGTAGGGAACACCACAACCAATGTACATATCTCATCGGAAGCATTAGATACATGTGGTAGCATTAGAATTCGGGTTATCAAAAACTCATGGTAGGCAAAGAATTCAGTCTTATGATCTTATAGCAAACAATGTGTGAAATTATACAACAAAAAAGGTAGAATCAATAGCAACAGCAATAAAAAATGATAGTACTCCATAGCGATTACTTGTATAAGACCAGTAGACCACCACACAGATCAGTATGAAATGTCACATTAATAATGTATCTATAACATAAACGGAGAGGTATCAAGGCCCAATGCTACAATTAACAAAAGATTTTGCATATATAATCATATCAACAAGATTTAACTTTAGCAGTCAGATGAGTTTGCAAAATAGCAAGTAACAAAGTTTAGTACCCATGATAAATGTAGAGGTGAACATGACAAAAGGTGAACAATACCTGAATCCCACAACAACATAAGGAACACCAGCAAGGAACGATTGAATCTACAATATTTAGATAAGTAAAGAAAGTCAATATTTTAACATAATAAGATGTTATACCTTCTGAAATCTGAACAAAAAATCCTAAGTTGCTGAAACGGCATAGTGGACAGACTTGTAACAAAATTGCTAAGTTACCACTCACTACTATCCAAAATAAAATTTCACACTACAAAAGAGAATAGAATAATAAAATGCATAGGCAGTTATGAAAATACTTCAAAGTACGTAATATGACAGCAAAGAAAAAGATAGCAGGAGTAAACCCTGAAACCTAAGTAGCTTATAAGGGGAAAAAAGAGAGTATGAATTACCCAAAATCTAAGTAGCTTTTCTTTCTCATATGCTTCCACTGTATGGTACTCCAGCTGTTACACATCAAGTTCAAGGACAGAATCTTATTATTTTTTTAAAAAAAAAAGTGATAGCAGAGCTTAACAATTCATGCAAAAAAAAAAACCTCTCTGCTTGTTTTCAACTCCACATAGAACCGCCTGCCATCATCAGTTGCATCACAGCAGTCCATCTCAGCACCCATGACAATGCGATGGGCACCCAATTTTGTCTTTATTACAGAACAAAACTCTACATTTGCATCAATACCTCTTCCATCATCGCTGAATGAGTTCTCAGTGGCAAGGTTTTCAAAAGAATAGCCCCAATAACATCTGGGAATCAAATGTAGAGGGGAGAAAAATACAGGTTCATCAGTATTATTGTGGTTTGGATTATCATTAAACCACTGCTAAGCTAATTTGGCAGAACACAACAGAAAAAATAGCCAGGAATCAATGTGTATAAATCATAAATAGGGGTCTATACTTGGTTCCTTAAACACGGCTGGCCTATCAAACAAGAATGCAAATGAGCCGCTTTTGTAACTCATGACCTTATCTTTCTATATTTCCCACCTTCTCCAATCTCCAATGCACAGATTATTAAATCACTCCATCCTTTTTAAATGGTCCACACAATGTGATCATGCTTCCAAAAGAAGTACAATCTGAACAAGGCTAAAACTATCTACATTGGCCATATGAAA